TATGATTAATCCGTAGTCATTGATCGATCCCGAGCTTCTGGCCTTTTTAAATTTCAGGATCATTTTGTCCAGCTGAAATGGTGGCTTCCATAGCTATGTAAAAATACCGGGTAAACGTTGTGCAGCCTACCAAAAGGATGTTCAAAACAATGGTTTTTGTTGTGCCGACCTTTTTGTGTAGACGCTGGTGCAATCCCCAATGACCTCTCTACTCCAAGGCCGGGTTGGTGATGAGTTGGAGGATTATGGAATCGGGAAGATCGGAATCCATGAACGGGGAATCCCTATCAACTATGAAGGGAACCGCCGGTGGAGTAGTAAGGAATGGCCCTTGAGGGACTGGACATCCGGTGGTTCAGCATGCTTAGCATTTCGGGACTGGAACATATTAAAGCCTTGAACCTGGCTGATCATTCTAGGCGTTTTCGTTCTGGTGTCATTTGGGAAGTTGGGGATGGTTGTGGGCCTCAAATTTGGTGAGTAAAGGTGAGTAATTGGGGGAAACAGATACAGATACAGATACAACAACAGCAACAGCAACAGCAACAGCGGCAACAACGGCAACAACAGCAACAACAGCAACAACAGCAACAACAGCAACAACAGCAACAACAGCAACAACAGCAACAACAGCAACAACAGCAACAACAGCAACAACAGCAACAACAGCAACAACAGCAACCACCACTACCACCACCACCACCACCACCACCAACAACAACAACAACAAAAACAACAACCCATCATCCTCATCCTCCTCATCCTCATCCTCATCATCATCATCATCATCATCATCATCATCCTCATCATCATCATCATCATCATCCTCATCCTCATCCTCATCATCCTCATCATCGTCTTCGTGATGATCATCATCATGATCATCATCATGATCATCATCATGATCGTCATCGTGATCATCATCATGATCATCATCATGATCATCATCATCATCACCGTCAGCATCATCACCATCATTGTTAATGCAGTGATACTGTAGCCATAATTGCAGTTATATGGCGTTATGACATGTTTTGACGATCATGACCAGAATGAGGAACATTTCATCGAGGTCATGATTTGACGAATGTAGCAGAACGTAGCCCTTTTCAATAGCACACATCCTGCACGAATCGTCGCCCAACATTTTTTCTATCCCAGGCTCATCTTCCGGTTCTTTGCGTGCGCTGCATTGGACCTTGAGTGCCGGGGAGGAGTGGGAGACGACTCACGGCATTTCCTCGCTAGCCTTGTGTTCAAAGATGGATCCCATTGTATTCGTTGTGCTGCTTAGCCAATCCTCACCCCGAAGATTTTCTCAGAGCACATGTCGTTGGTTGTCAGTCCCCCATTTCCCACCGGATCTCCAACTGGCAACCCCCAAGACCCTCTGTGGAATCTAAGCTAGTGGAAAAGAGATGAAAAGAGAGAAAAACCATGAAAAATCCACAAGAAAACCATCTATACTATAGATGGATCCTTTCATGGGATTTTCCATCAAACCATGTCCGACCCCAGCCCTTCTCCCTATGAACCAACACCAGTCAATTGAAACCCAAATGTACTACTGCGTCTATCGGTTTTAAGGTCCAATTCTATATCAGGGAATCAGGTGATGGGATTACATTTGTCTCCAATTTTGCTCTATGCCCAAACATTTTGTATTTGATATGGGAATGGGTCAAAACCATGTAGCCCTGGTGAACATCAAAATAGGTGGCAAATGGATGTTCATCCCCTAATATATAAACTGTATCTATAGGTATTGATCCATAGCCATGTAAACTCTGTATCGTTCCTGCGGTTTTTATGATCAAAAACCGGGGCTGAAAGCAGCCAGATTGGATTGCCTGGTGCCGGACCTGCAGCTGAGGTTCAATCAAACCCGCCTCATGTTTGTCTATGTACAATATATATATATATATGATATAGTCACCCCCAAAAAGCTTAAAGGTCAATTTACCAATGTGTTAGAATTCTACCAAATTCTATCTTGACTTGGGGTTTACTACTATATTTATATACATAATACAGCTATATATCCTTGCAACTATACATACAACCAGACATATATATATATATGTATATATATATGTATATATATATATATACATATATGTATATATATACACATATGCAAACAACTATAGAGGCATCTATACATACAGCTATATATCGCCATATATGGTTTGGATCTATTTCCAAACCAACTGAGCGCCGTTTTTTTTTTTCGAGGAGTCCAGGCGTCATGCGCTACTGCGACTGTTGCCCAGTGGCGGGGCTGCGAGCGTTTTTACCCTGCGCCTTGGAGAGATGGAGAAGATATGGAGAAAGACGGAGAATTGGCTATGGCTATGGATCAATACCTATAGCATTTTTAGTGGGATGAACATCCATTTTAACCCAGCTAAATACCTATAGATACAGTTTATTAGTGGGATGAACATCCACTTTAACCCAGCTATTTTGATGTGAACAGAAGGGGTATTAATAGGTTTTGACACACTGCCGAATTGGAAACGCCAAAAATGCTGATGTTCTGATGATTCTGATGTTCCTAGATTTTTTCATCAATGTTAGCTGCTACAGAGATGTCATTCAGAAACAGGTGGTCAGGTGGGGTGTTTTTCAGCCGATGCGGACTTGAAGCGAATTTGACGTCATGGGGATTTAAGCTAAAATGACCTCCCCAATTAAGGATTCATTAAGGGCTGATGAACCATCCATGCACACCGAACTGGAGGGATTGGTTCCCAATGAATTTTATATGCGCGTCGGACTCGGGAGAGGTTTCATTCTTATTGTAAAAAAAACAGGTGAGTGATTGTGAATGATCAGTACATCACTGTATCAGGGTTGATTCAGCCATCCAATAAAAAACAATTTCATTTGGGCCTCGCTCTCTGCTCTCGCCACTGTGTATGGAAACTGATTTCAGCCAAGTTTCCTGGATGAATAATCTACAGCACTCCCCAAATATTGCTGGGACACATCATTTTCCTTGGCAGATTGGCTTCGAATACTGAGACCCAAAGACCCGAGATCCGGGGCTGAAGAAGCTTCAGAAGCTATCTTGGACCGGGGGAGAACGGGAGAACCGCTGTCTTCATGGCATCTTGGATGGCCCAGAACTAGATATCTGGATGTTCGAGTGAAGTAAGTGGATAGATTCCACCACAGTTATCATAGTTATGGTGGTAAAAATACTCAACTTATGGTGATTATTATCAGAGGTATACCGGTATACCATTATATCATGATCATCATGATCATCATAATTATCATGGTTATTATCATATTAACTTGATGGTCATTATCATAGGTATACCATATCAATGGGGGCCACCGAGAAGCGAGGGGCCGCGTGGGGGATCCCCAAGCTCGCTGGATGGTGACATGGAAAATCCGAAAGTAACGATGATGATTTGGAGGTACTCCCATTGTAGGACACCTCCATACCTATCTATCTAATCTAAATCTACTCTAAATCTAAATTAAATCTAAATCTAAATGCGAATCCAATCTATCCATCTATCTGTTGATAAGAACACCATAAACTGCCAGCAACAAATGCCAGGAGTTCTATCCCAATTTTCACAGCTCTTCAGGAGGTTTTGAACAGCAATGGGAAGGTGAAGAGCGTTCAGCGACTTGGGACTCGGCGATTTTTCTTGGGATTTTACATGACGCTATGAAAAAAGGGATTCAGCTAGGAAAGATGGTGATTCAGCCATGGGGATGTAAGCACTAATCAAAACTGGTTGGTTTCAAATCTCTTTTGTTTTGAGCCCGGAGGATCCCCGCCTCGTCGCAACTCAAGTTCCGGCTGCCGGGCTGGTTCCCCTTCAGGAACATTTAGCCTCCGGTAATTGAACATATGGAACCCATTCTTACAAGTAAATGGGTATGGATCAATACCTATTAATACCATTTTTAGTGGGATGAACATCCATTTACCAGCTATTTTGATGTTCACCAGGGGTACAAGGTTTTGACACACTGCCAAATCATCGAAGTAAATGGCTCATTTTCCATACAGCGAATGGATCAGCGGCCCAATTTCAGACCTGGTCCACCTGGTCCCCATGGTCCCTGAATTTCAGGGCGCTGAGGCATCCCAAGAGGAAACAACGGCTGCAGAAGAGTCAGCTGCGGTTGCAGACTTCCAAAGCTCTGCAGAGACTCGGCTCCCTCGGATGCTCCCATCCACCTGATGCAAATTGTTGGAGGGTTTTCCACCTGGAGTTTTTCTTTGCCATTTCTCGGCCATGTTTTGAGGTGAACCTGGTGAACCCCCGAATGTTCGAATCACAGGTTTTCGAGTCAGCCGGAGGACCATGGTTTCAACCATGGTGAAATTCATCGTTTATCGAAATGCCGGGGAATGAGCAACCACGGAGCAATGGGGATACGACATGATTCTAGCATCCTTCATATCTGATATATACGTATATAATATATAATATATGTATATATATATATGTGTATATATATATGTATATATATATGTATATATATATATATGTATATATATATATACATATGATTGACTCAGATTGAACAGCCTTACCCTCTGGTAATTTGAGAGTTTGCTGGAACGTCACCATCTGTAGATCAACGAACTAAGTTCCCGGCCAGAGCTTCCATAGCTTCCAGAATCCCTTCATGGTGAGATCTCTAGTCATGGTGAGATTTTGGTTCATCTTCCCAGGTCCAGTAAGTCTCCAGCAAGAATCCCATGAAATCCAATTTTTTACATCACCCAGTTTTTATGTCCTGAAATACCATCATATAAATATCACATCAAATCCGATATAAATCCCATGTAAATCCAATGCAATTCCCATGAAATACCACTACATATCCCACAAAATCCTGTTTGCTGTACCGTTTAAATCCCATAGAAATTCAATATAAATGCCAATAACATATAAAATTCCAGTTAAATCCCATGTAAATCCCATATAAATTCCATATAACCATAGAAATGCCATATATAAATGCCATATAGATTCCAGCAAATATCGCCTATTCCCAGGAACTCCCCATTAAAAATCGCCTATTCGCCCAGTCTTAGGACTCCTCTTCATTGGCTCTGCGCTCATGATGCCTTGGAAACCGCCAGCGGCGAATGCCTGGGAGGTGCAGCTATGGTCCATTTTTTTGGAGGCTGAATCTATGGGGATTTATTAGTTACCCTCTGGTTATGAATCTATAAATGGTGATCAATAGTGGTTAATAATGGTTAATAGTGGCTAAACATGTGATGAATGGGGATTTATGAGTTACCCTCTGGTTATTTAACATAGCCATGGTATAGATGGCCCATGGAAATAGATGGTTTAGCTATTAAACATGGTGATTTTCCATGGCTATGTTAAATAACCAGATGGTATCTCTGGTTATGAATCTATGGGATGATACATTCTATACATGGGGTGAGTTAGACCTTATAACTGGTATTCGAATGGTTGATATGGGGATTTCGATAGGGCTACCCCAAGCGAGCATTGGATGGTTGATTTCATGGAACATCCTAGCTCTAAATGGATGATTTGGGGGTACCCCATGACTTAGGAAACCTCCATATAGCTATAAACAATGGTGATTGTCCATAGCTATGTGAAAAATCACGAAAACAAACATATGGGAAGTTGTTCTTGAGTTTTTGAAATGAGCATTTTTAGAGACCTG